ATACGTGCTGAGTAGCATGTTAAGGGAGTGAAATTCTCCCTTGAAGAAAATCGGTTTTTTTCTTTCGAAGCGAATATCATCGAAACTATGAGAGATAGAAAAAAAATTTCTGCAATAAAAATTGAATGGTTGCACGATTACTTTATAACTATAATAAAACAAATTTTTCTTAGTTATTTATTTATTGTATATCTCCACCTTCCACTCTTATTTTCAAAAATATTTTAATTTTTTATATGACCAAAATTAAAGAGTATTTTACGCTGAAAACAACGATGTGCATTTAAATGATGTTCCGAAAAACCATTTTTGAGATATAAATGAAAACGTCTCTATATACGCGCTCCGTACTTACGTATTCGTCTCATATTGTTGATTGCGCGAGATAGCAATAAAGGCAACACAGTTTATCACAGTGCAGTAGTGACTATTGAAATAAGTTTTGTAAATAATAATAACAATAACAATAATAATAATATTATAACAATTCCAACAGCAACAGTGACTTTTCAATCAACCTGCTAAAATCAGTTAAATACTTTTGAAGATACGTTTATAAAAGAATATACAAAATATTTTGAACAATTAAGAACAAAGCATTAATAAAGAAATTAATACTTTAATTTAAATTTTATTCATTTCATTTTCATCGTAGAGCAGCTAATCCATTTAATGTTAACATCAATAATTGATAAGGCGATGTAAAAAATATGTAGATTTGCTGACACAGATAAAACAATAATTTTTGTCTGCGTATGTTATTGACACATAAGTATAAAAAGGGACAAATCGTTGGAATGAATTCAGTTTTGTGCTTGATTTCGAATAAGTACTACTAGTTGCTAATGATATTAATTGGCTAATAAGTATTTATTTTTTTAACTGCATTATATATTGATCGTACAGTAGCTAATTGCAGTGTTCAATGTTAATGAATAATGTATTGCAAAACATTGCGTTTTATTAATCTAGGCGAAAAATAGTATTCAACTGTTAGGATTTGATGAAACAGTATATTTATAATTTGATAACATTTTTAAAACACTTGTAGGAAGACATATCATCATATGTACATTATACAAAATTGTTTTTCCCCCGTTCAACGAATTCTTTTGAAGGATAACCAAATAAGAAGGTATCAAATTTATTATGAAATAAAAACTTTTCTCTCTTTCTTTTAGTAATTATTATATTGGAAATGGACATGTAAATAATATTTATAATTTTTAGAAGATAATGCGGTTTAATCCACGAAATGTATAATAATAACTGCCGTCTGTATGGCTAATTTTGAGAATGATTTTAAAAAAATTATTGCATTATCAACTTTAAGACAATTGGGGTTAATAATGATAATTTTAAGATTAGGATTTAAGTTAATTGCGTATTATCATTTATTAGTGCATGCGGTTTTTAAATCTATATTATTTATAAGAGCCGGGGTTATTATTCATTTAATGAATAATAATCAAGATATTCGTCTTTTGGGTAATTTAAATGAAGTTATGCCTTTTGTAATAATAAGGTTAGTGATTTCAAATATAGCATTAATAGGGATACCTTTTATATCTGGATTTTATAGAAAAGATTTGATTATGGAAATTATTTATAGTGAGGTAAACATTAATATTATTATGGGTCATCTATGCTCGATTTCAGGAGTAGGCTTAGTAAGATCGTAATAAAGCTTTCAAATATTTTTTCTCTGTCAAACGAAACAAGTAATAATTAGTGACTGTCTACTAACAAGGGAACACAACCAGTTATATGTCGCCGATTTAAATGAGCTTTTAATAGGTTGTTCTACAGACAAAAATAAGAGACACGTATTTTTTTATACGTGCTGAGTAGCATGTTAAGGGAGTGAAATTCTCCCTTGAAGAAAATCGGTTTTTTTCTTTCGAAGCGAATATCATCGAAACTATGAGAGATAGAAAAAAAATTTCTGCAATAAAAATTGAATGGTTGCAAGAATACTTTATAACTATAATAAAACAAATTTTTCTTAGTTATTTATTTATTGTATATCTCCACCTTCCACTCTTATTTTCAAAAATATTTTAATTTTTTATATGACCAAAATTAAAGAGTATTTTACGCTGAAAACAACGATGTGCATTTAAATGATGTTCCGAAAAACCATTTTTGAGATATAAATGAAAACGTCTCTATATACGCGCTCCGTACTTACGTATTCGTCTCATATTGTTGATTGCGCGAGATAGCAATAAAGGCAACACAGTTTATCACAGTGCAGTAGTGACTATTGAAATAAGTTTTGTAAATAATAATAACAATAACAATAATAATAATATTATAACAATTCCAACAGCAACAGTGACTTTTCAATCAACCTGCTAAAATCAGTTAAATACTTTTGAAGATACGTTTATAAAAGAATATACAAAATATTTTGAACAATTAAGAACAAAGCATTAATAAAGAAATTAATACTTTAATTTAAATTTTATTCATTTCATTTTCATCGTAGAGCAGCTAATCCATTTAATGTTAACATCAATAATTGATAAGGCGATGTAAAAAATATGTAGATTTGCTGACACAGATAAAACAATAATTTTTGTCTGCGTATGTTATTGACACATAAGTATAAAAAGGGACAAATCGTTGGAATGAATTCAGTTTTGTGCTTGATTTCGAATAAGTACTACTAGTTGCTAATGATATTAATTGGCTAATAAGTATTTATTTTTTTAACTGCATTATATATTGATCGTACAGTAGCTAATTGCAGTGTTCAATGTTAATGAATAATGTATTGCAAAACATTGCGTTTTATTAATCTAGGCGAAAAATAGTATTCAACTGTTAGGATTTGATGAAACAATATATTTATAATTTAATAACATTTTTAAAACACTTATAGGAAGACGTCATATAATACATTGTACAAAATTGTTTTTTCTCTTGTTCAACGAATTCTTTTGAGGGATAACCAAATAAGAAGATATCAAATTTATTATGAAATAAATAATAAAAAAATTTTCTCTCTTTCTTTTAATAATTATTATATTGGAAATGTACATGTAAATAATATTTATAATTTTTAGAAAATAATGCGGTTTAATCCACGAAATGTAATAATACTGCTGTCTGCAGTATTTACTGCCGTAGACAGAAAGTCCTATAACAACAGAAGAACGAGAGAAAAATGGAAAAGATGATAAAAGAAATGTACGAAGACTACTATGAAATTGAATAAGAAGAACCGTTGGATTTTTTAAACTCATATGATATATCAGAAGCACAATAAATAGAACTCGTAGATGAAGAAGAAAATTACGCACGCAATGTAAAAGAAATGATTTGTGCCATCGACGATATTTCAGCAGAATATAAAAAAGCAGCAGTTGAATATTGGAGAAGTGGTAAGTTAAAGCTGAGAACAATTGAATCTATAAAATCAAGATTTCGAAAGTAATGTCAGCAGACTAATTGCGACGATGGGAAAAGCAAATGAATATAGATGGTAGTAGACTTGAAAAGTTGAAACGAATTTTAGTATACACGTTAGATAAATTTATTGAAGCTATTCGTAAAGGGGCAATGATCCATGATATTGATATTACACGATTGGCTTTGCAACAACAAGTAAACTTATTAGGTTTTAAAACATCATACGAATGGATTAGAAGATTTAAGTTCGCGCATCAAATTGTATCTAGAAAAGTTACGAAATTTATAACTAAAAAAGCTTTAATGTCAAAGGTAGCTTTACAGGCAGATAGCAATAGGTTTATTGAAAAAGTCAAATATTATATTGACCGTTATGGAATTGAAAATGTATATAATTCGGACCAAAATGGTTTTCAATTAGAATTGCATGCTGGTCGTACAATGGCACAGAAAGGTGTAAAAAAGTAGAGTCTGTAGTATAGTCAATATCTGCGATTACGCACAGTTATACAATACACCTGTTATTTCAGCCTATGGTAGATTATTATCTTCACTTCTTATAGTGTTAAAAGAACCTGTGGGACATTAGGTCCTAAGGTACAAGAAACGATGTTTACTGCAAATAATATTTTTATTATGTCGTCAAAATCTGATAAATTAACATCAATCATTTTGAAACTTGAATAAGGGAAGTATTATCCAAATGTTGAACCAAATTCAGTTTTATTGTTAGATTCATGGACTGGTCATTGTCCGGATATAATTCAAAGAAATAGACCAGATTCTGCACAAGATATTGTTTTATTAACTATACCGGCTGGAACAACAGGAAAAATACAACCGTTAGATGTTTTTGGATTCTGTTTATGGAAGAATTTCGTCAAGCATTTTTCAGATGTAGTCATGTTTTTAGATCTTGATGTAAAACTTCATTCTCGAAACGCTATTTTAAAATTATAGTCATTAACGCACAATCAGTTTTCATCATCAAGATTTACCAATTTGTTTAAATACGCTTGGTACAAAAGTGGATAATTGGAACATAGGCCAGGAGAATTTAACAAACTGGTCGATTTTTGTTTTAAAAATCATTCGAAAGCAATATGTGATATTTGTGAAATAGTTGTAATTACTTGCGCATGGTGTAAAAAGTCTCTCTGTATAACCCATTTTTTCTATGATCATCGTATTTGTAATTTGTATGAACCGTAAATATTGTAATGATTTATTACGTATGTATACATTATAAAAAGATAATTTTAAGCAATATCTAAAAAAAGACACATGGTGTGTGCTTTCACGTTTTAATTATAGTAAATATAAAATAAAAACAAATATTGATTATTGACATTTTATACAATACCATATTATATTAATAAAAATATCAAAAACTAACAATAACTTTAAAATTATTGTATCGTAGAATTGCAAATAAAGAAAGTAAAACAAATTATATATATGTATATACTAGCCAATTTATTACTGAAGTAGAATAATATATAATTAATTACTTATTTGAAGTACTAATTGTAAGAGTACTGGACAACAGTGCTTAATACTTATTGTTAAAATAAGTAATTAATTACTGTCTTTCAATATTAGTCAATATTAGATTTCTATAAAGATATAATGCCATTACTTCTCAATTCATACTCTGTAAATATAAAAATATTAAATAAATAAATTTATGTAACACAATTAACATACCATATTTTTTAATGTTTTTCTCACATACACAAATAATGGTACTTACAAATTTCCGCAATCCTTGCAAATTCCATTGTCAGATGGTAATATTTCAGAAGAATTTCCTCGACTAAAACCTTCTAATAATCGAGAAAATTCCATTGGACCTTGACTACGAGTTCGAAATTGAGTTCCAGAATGTACTCATAAATTATTATCGGCATTCTGCGGCAAATTGTTTTTTTTTTATTATTAGCTAGAGATCTCTGACACTGATTGTAAAATAGGATACGCAAGTTTACACGGGTTATTATAATGTTTTTTATAAATTAATAAGTAGAAAGGAAAGTGTATCAAAAACATATTATATATCATTGTAATATAAATGCAATATAAATTATTAATAATGAAATAAGTACCTTTTTTTTGTTATGAGTTCATAAGAAGTATCACATTTATAGGTTACTTTAAATTTATATTCACAAGTTGCACATTTTATCCATTTTCAATTTATATGGAGCACCGCACTTGCATGTGATTTCTATAGCAATATCATTGACTATGCACAATCAATGCTGCATATGCTGACTTATTGCATATAGGAACAAAATTTTTTGCATAACATCGCATTAATAAAATGTATCATATCAGTATCAGTGACTTCGTTCTGATAAAATGAAAGGTTCAAAAAAACGTTGGCATTAGCAATGGATAAAAACACAGCGATAACCAATTAACCTTCTGATATCTTTAAAAATACCTGCACGGAAAAAACGCTACAATCGGAAATAATAATTTTCGTTCATTAATGCATTTGGTTGTGATAACTGTAAGATGAACATATCCTTATCATAATTTCTAGTTTTGGTAACTGTAGCAATTTTTTCTGTGTGCGAAAGCATTATCAAGATGACGTTTTATCAATACATTATTGATGTCAACAAAATGGATTAGCTGCTCTACGATGAAAATGAAACGAATAAAATTTTATTAAAGTATTAATTTCTTTATTAATGCTTTGTTCTTAATTGTTCAAAATATTTTGTATATTTGTGCGCGAATGTGTCGCGCGAAAGAATGAAGCGAGAGGACGATTCCCGACTGATATAACGCACAAAAGTGAGAAGAACTACGTTTCTTTTTTTTTCTTTTTTTTTGTAGTTTAACAAAAGAGTTACTTTATTTCTTATAACAAATTCAGCACAAATTGAAAATTATCGCAAAGTATTACACACAATCCCCTTTTTCGAATTCTTACTCAGTAGCAATAGAAAATTGCTGCGATTTTCTCAGCGGTTCTCGAAGGAATCTTTCTTGCAACGGTTCTACGTGGCGGTTTTTTCACGGCGGTTTTTTACATGATACAATAGCGAGACTCTGAACACTAAGAGAGAGAGAGAGCGGCGACGATCGGCCTATATTTTGTCTTTGTGGCCCGGGTTCTCCTCTTGATAAAGTCCAACAGAATTTTGCCACAATTGTAATTTCTGTGTGGCATTCGTTGTATAAAATTGATTGGCACCTCAAATTCTTTTCTAATAACTTTCGACGTAACAGTCGAAAGAAAATCCGCGCGACAGAAAATCCGCGTGTGGGATTGGTGGCCGCGCGTGACGTGTTCATCGGAGCGCTGTGCTCGCACGCGTGATTGAATCGTTCTCGAACCTTCGATGGTCCGTTGCCGTTGTCTGTGTGTGTGTGTGTGTGTGTGTTTGTGTATAATGAATTAATTTGAAATGAAAAAAAACGACAAATTAGTAGCTTTAGTGAGAATTAAGATCGTGCTAGATGAATTTACAGACTCATTTCACATACACGTCCAACAACAATTAATGTAAATTAAACAAAAGAATTATTACTTTTTTACGAATTAACGATCTCAAACAATATTCTTTAAACGTACCTTCAAAAGTATTTAACTGATTTTAGCAGGTTGACAAAGTCTGTTGCTGTTGGTATTGTTATTATTATTGTTATTATTATTATTATTATTTACAAAACTTATTTCAATAGTTACTGCACTGTGATAAACTGTGTTGCCTTTATCTCTATCTCGTGCAACCAACGCGGTATAAGACGAATACGTAAGTACGGAGCGCGTATATAGAGACGTTTTCGTTCATATCTCAAAATTTTTCGGAACATGATTTAAATACACATCGTTGTTTTCAGCGTAAAATGCTCTTTAATTTTGATCATATAAAAAATTAAAAAATTTTTTAAATAAGAGTGGAGGGTGGGGATATATAATAAATAAATAAAAAAAATTTGTTTTATTATACTTATAAAGTACTCTTGCAATCATTCAATTTTTATTAGAAATTTTTAATAGAAATTTTTTTCTATCTCTCATAGTTTCGAAGATATTCGCTTCGAAAGAAAAAAACCGATTTTCTTCAAGGGAGGATTTCACCCCCTTAACATGCTACTCAGCATGTATGAAAAAATATGTGTCTTTTTTTCTATAGAACAACCTACTAAAAGCTCATTTAGATCGATAACATACAACTGGTTGTGTTCCCTTGTAAGTTAATTATATACTATCTCACATATATTCCTAAATAAGTGCTCTATAAAAATTAAATTATCTACTGTTTATAGTTTTTACTTTTTATTTAAAACAATTACCTGTGCAACTCATTTAAATTGCTGTTCAACATAATGTCACCAATGATTAAATACAAATGCGATTGCAATTCTTTCTTAGGCAAATGAGAAGATGCTTCAATAATCAGTCTTAACATATGATTGAAATTAATACAGTTGCTATATCAAACTGGTCCAGCTTAAAAATAAAGTTTTTAGTAGTTTAATTAATTGAAATAAAGTCAACGAATCGCACCAAACTTCAATAAACTTGAAAATGAGAAAAGTTTCGTAAAAAAGGCCTCATACATAATAATAATTAGATAATAATATTACTTTATTACATAATAATAATTTACATTTAAATACTTCAGAATGGATATGCAATAGCTTCTGACATATTTGGGATATTGGTTGTTGCAGTTAAACAGAGATTTAAACTATATACGTGAATTTGACAGTCCCAAATTTTGTTCCAAACATTCTTCCATTTGAGAAAAATCTTTTTGATGTTTTCTGGATTTATTAATAAGATGTTTTACTTTATCAAAAGGAAATCTTAATAGAAAATTTTTTATATATGCATCATGAAAGGTATCTTTAAACCAACGCTTCATACGTTTGACGCTATAATCATCCTGATTCGAACATATCAATGTATTCCACAATCGATTGCATAATTACAATTTGCTTAAAATTGTAGTTTTTGTGTAACTCTCAACTTTCTCATGGATACACTTTGAGCCAAATATCAGACATTAGTGGCATCAATAAATTTACATATTTTATAAATTCTTCTATAAGTAAGGTTTCATTCTCACGATTATCTATCAAGATCACATTTTCGTCAAGATTATTTTCATAAAATTGAGTCGCTATAAACTGGAATATATTTTTTGGAATATATAGTTTTTACAAACGGAAGTATAATCGATGGTATACCTATACAAAGTTTCCTGTAGTTAACAAATTTACTTTTAGAATATAATGTTGTCATAAATTGTGTCACAGGGCTACCTTCATTATATAACCTGCATATCATACCCAAAAAATTATTGGTAATATTTTATGATTATCTTTTGCTAATGCACTATTACAATTTTGTATATCTAAGAAAAGTAGAGAATCTTCTTTCACATGTGGATCAATATGTGTCATTGCACAGCTCAGATATGATATTATATAATTTTATGCAATGATGTTGTTACGTCCAAACCCTTGAAAATTTTCAAGGAGACAATGAGGGAGAATGGAGAGGATGTGGAAGGACGGTTAGACTCAATCTCACAGGTATACGAGCGAAGGCAAACACCTGTCAATCGTACGCACCTTTTCAGTCCCGTAATATGGGTCAACGTCCGAAGGGACGCTATGACACCTGTTCCGCTGGACAGTGTGAACGTCGGTCCTACTTTTTGGGTCAAGGAACTTAATCCTTTTGACCCGGGACCTCGTGCGATCTCAGGTATTCGAGGGAAGTGAATGCGAGAGGTGATGTCAATAAAAGACAGGGGAATACTTTAAGTTACATGTATTAATAAAATGCAAAATAATAACAAAACAAAGGGTTTTATACATTATAAATTTCTCAAATTTGATGTGTGTTCGTTGGAAACGCGTGTAGATGTATTCATGCATAATGAATGTGTTTTTCCATGCGGGGAAACGCGAGGGTGGATTGGAAATGGTTGCGACTTACTATTAGCTGGCCCAAGATATCGGGTATGTTCTAGGCGAGTGGCCAAGGAGATCCGTCGTCAGCGAAGAGTATCCGAAGGGTAGTCGCCGTGGCATATGGCTGATAACTTCAGTTGCGATTTGGTTACAAGTTCGCACTCTGATGGGATCGCGAACTGGCGTGATTAGCGCGGGTTCCAATAGTTTTCGGACTGCCCGAGACAATGAGTAACTGAGCGCGAACTTCTGACGTGGACCGAGTGATTGAAAATTTCGTACTGACTGCGACAATAATTTGGATCGCGAGCTTCACTGACGTGGACCGAGTGGTTTAAAATTCTGTACTGACGTGGACCGGGTGCTTCAAAATTTCATACTAACGCTCTGCGCTTCCGCGGGACCTCTATTTATACCCCGAAAAAAGGGCGTTGTGCCCTTGTCTAGGATGCAAAAGTTAGTTGCAATGTCACGTGAGATTTACGATTTTTATAATGTTCGTTGTTGACCTAGAATACATCGTTAGAATAGTTTCGAGAAGAAAAGAAGTGATTTACTTAAAGAGCCAAGATTGCTCCGAGACGGATGACGAATTCTGTTATTCTCGCGGAAAATACGATTAGATAAACAAATGGTTACCGTACACAAATAGGTTTGCGTGCAGAGCTACCATTGTCTGATTTTATATTACGCTCCTGTGGGAAGTTATCCTATGCGTTTTACGATTTTTTAAGTGCGACGTGACGCCTGTTTTTCTATAATAAAATGAAATTGTTAGTCAGTCTCGGATGACGAAGCCTAGATTTTTTCATTGCGTGACCTCGGTGCATTTATAATGTCTTTTACAATCTTGTCTCTTTTAGGGCTTACATTAAGGTTGTTATTCCTTTCGGGTTGATTGGCATTTACGACATTTCGCGGAGCCTGTCCGGTCATTCTTTTCAATTCTGTCAGACCGTTATCAGAACGCTCCGCTCGAATCTCGCAGACGCCAACCATAGTCGCGACTTGGAGCGAAAAAAAAAATCGTGACGTCTGTAGGACGTAACACCCCCAGCCTTAGGCAAATGTTGAGGTGTGAGAACGCAACATTTCCAAAACAAAAAAAAAGGTATCGGTTCTTTTCTTTCGACAATTGGATGGGTTTGACTATATGGTCGGACCCACATTTAAATGTTATTCCTTACATGTGCGTCCCTTGATTTATTAGAGAAGCAGGAAAGAATAGGACGTTTCTAAAATTCGCCTCCTCAGTTCTTTCGTCCTTTCATTTTACAAGTAAATGTCAATATCCTAGTATGCATCAACATTTTGATATCCGTCCGTAAGTATAACTCACGTCATTAAGAAGC